GAAATTTTGGTATTTTTGCAATAAAAATGACTCACCTCAATGCCTTGTTGTCTTTTCTATTGTCATCTCGCTTCTTAGCTCGATCCGAAGCCTTTTAAGCAAGTTGTCGCTTTTTGGTTTTTAAGTTTTTAAAAAAACTCCTCGCATTGTGAGCTTGGGCCGCCTGTGATCAAACATTCACGTGATTTCACTGACAGACTTCAAGAGAGCGCGACAGGAACAGCAGGAATGCCTCAACTTCAGCAGTATAGCGAGGTACAAGTACTGTAAAACTGACTATATGGCCGTACTCGTTTAGATGCACAGTCACGAAGCACGTGGGGCCAAATACTTTTAATCATATACGAACGGTCGGAACACGTAATTTAACGTAACACCTCACGGCTTCGAAATTCCTCTCGTTGGATATCTATAATCTGACACTAACCGAAGGTCAATCATTCACATTTATCTTACCGTAAGTTACCTTAAGTACCTTTCTTGTCAGAAAGCGAAGAAGATATTAAAGAGGAAATGATAATCTTGTTCTTCTTGTACTTAAATTCAAATAGGTTAGGTCAGAGTTCTGTCTGTCAATGAATTGATTTTGCGTGTTGTCGTTGAATTGAAAGACAAGACATAAACGCAGTCGGTCATATTATGTTAGTTAGCTGATTTACCTCAATCTACTTCCCGTCAGTTCTTTCTACCAGATAAATGCGGCACCAGTATCAAGTGTTGATCAAATAGAGATTCTGAAACGGGCTTTCTTCTCCGTTGGAACTGGTTTAGACCACTCCGAAATACTCCTCGTAGACGTCTCAGCGGCTGATACGGAAAATGACACCAGTTATATGTATGTTTTTCCGTCACGTACTCTAACTACGACCCCACGGAGTCCAGGTCTCGCCCTGGTCAGTTGTCCGTGTCTGTTTCGATTCAAATATAAATACAGTAATGTTAACATCAAATTAAAATTCCTCTTCTAAATATTTGTTATGTTTGCAGATATATATTTCTTTTTGAATTTTTTTTTCAGTTTGCCTTGGAAAATGCATTTAGATTCACGTGCGCATTTGAACATGCCGAATATCCAGGCGTAGACAATCGGTAAAAATCGATATCGGAAATCATTAGATATTAATCGATATCAATCGCCGATTGCTATCGATTGATATCTGCAATCGATGACAGTCGAACTCACAGAAAATTATTTTAATTGATTGTTATCGAGTGACAAAAATCGTTAACAATCGATAATTCTTTTCTTCAGGAATATCGATTGTCGTCGAGTTTTGTTTTTGAGATCTATTCATTGCCTTTGTTTCACTAGGACATTGACTCTGTCGATACTACAATGACACTAAGGTGAGCTTAGTCTTTCTATCGATGAAGACACCTCTTTCGTCAATTTCGGCCCTGGAGGGAACACAAAAATGAATAAATCAATATTTCCTTTGTTCATTGGTTTGGTCGGAAGTTTTATGCCCGGTGTAAAACTGCAGTTGCAAAGCATTACAATGGACTAATGAGTATGTGTTTGATTCAGAGACGGTAACGATTGGCTGTTGTGACCTTTCTTGTGTTGAGTAACAAAGCACTGAATATTCTCAAATTAGTAGAATATCAGCAGTCTTTCCTTCGTTCGGTCTGACCTGGATGGAGCTCTGAGAGCAAATGCTGTGTGTCGATGACAACTCGAACGGCCATTTGCTCTCGAAATAACATCAAACGATGTTTTGCGGCGTTCACATCCTCGTATGGAGCTTAGTCATTTCAGTAACATTACAACAAAGGTGGCCGCCCCCCGGACCTTGGAGTGGTGATGGTGTAAGAGGTGACGCTGGAAGCGGTGATGGTGGAAGACGTGATGCTGGAAGCGGTGAAAGAGGAAGCGGTGATGGAGGAAACAGTGATGATGGAAGTGGTTTGGAATCCCCATTTTTGTGCTCAGTAGCAGGAAACTGCAGTTGCAAGTTTGACGACTTCGGCGATACCGTGAGATGTACGTCTGTGGGCAATAATCTAGACGAAATTGCAAAAAATCTTCCGAAGACGACGACACATTTGTAAGTAGCCAAAGATGTCTTCCGATTTAGCCTCCACATGTGCTTCAGTTTCACCTAAAGCGTCGCTTTCTTGTTAGAATTTCTTTCCTTAGAATATCGGTTTTGATAAAAGAAGCTCACTACATGATTTAAATTGAAAAGCCAAAACTGTGGTATGCAGGTTTCAGTGATTTGATAAGTTGAGTAAAACAATGCCCGGGGCGTCACATTGGTGATATAAATGTAAATCAACGATATCTTGTGTAAAATTGAAAATATTCCATATTTAATTTCACATAAATGTTACATTTTCGAATTCGAATGATATAGAATTGCGGGATCAATTACGAATAAATATATGACGTATGATCGCATGTGATTGTAGTTATTTATCAATCAAGCCTTTGTATTAGCACAAGACACTCAAATCATTGTGCTAAATTGGCAATTTTCTTTAAGTTATCCCAAACATAAATACAATTACTTCGTAAAATGCAAGAAAAACAACTGGAGAATGACGACTTCAGTGTGTGCTTTATTCTGTTTAGGGTCCCCTCCCTCCCATGCGCGTTCCATACTCAGCTCCTTTTGATGTTTCTTCTTTGACAGAATTCTGAGGAACAACGGAATATCCAAGTTGTCACCGATCGGTCTTGGTCACTTTGAACAACTGCAAGTCTTGTAAGTAAAGTAATAAAATAGTAAGTTAAATCAGTTTGCTGTTCGCATGTACACCGCACGTGATCCACTCACATTCAGTGAGTGTTCACGAATTGTCCATATTAGAATTTGTCCGTATATGTAAAGTGGAGCTGACTGCATTACTGTCTTGTTTATCCATCCGTCCGTATATCTGTCTGTATGCATTTATTCATTTATTTATTTACTTATCCGCCTATTAGAGCGGTTTTTATTTGAGTCTCGAAAGGTAATTGGTTTTGCATCAACTATGCTACACCATTGGCTTAAACTAGTAGTAATCAGAGATTATGAGAGTGCGTTCGACGCTCTCACTTTATTACATATATACCGATTTGTTGATACGTCGCGTGACGCCGCCAGTTTCTGTAGACTGTCAAGTTTCATAGAATATTTAAATTACGTACATTATTCTAAGCTAGCATTTGCAATCGCGTGCTCGTTTATCGTAAACAAACTCCGTGCGACTAATTCGAGTATTTCCCCTGATGAATAGTAGTCTTATGGATCTTGCCTTCAGAGTACTTTTCCACCGATTCCAAACTGTAAAATTTCGACCGGATAAGGACTGAGCTATCTGTCGCGACTGGAACTAATCAACAAATGCAATCAAAATGTAGCTGTTCCCACGGTTATCATCCCAAAGCCAAGTCGTGTTAATAAACAAGGACAATTCCCTCAGATTTCGATAAATGCTACCGTCGAAGCGTTTAAATTCGCCAAAAGCTAACGCTCAGAGCACATAATAGCGAAACGTACGGCGACTGAATGGAAAGAAGTCAAAGATCCATCGGAAAGACGAGCTCACATGGCTAGGCTCGATTACCAGCCGCTGTTCGGGAGAGGAGCCCGCGCTCCTCCCCCGAACTCACTCGGGGAGGAACGTAGACCGGACTCGAGAAAGCGGCGGAAATCGAGCCTAGCGTCATGTGAGCCTGCCTATGACTCAGAGTGTCATCAGATGATATTTCCGGCCACCTGAAGCGCCGCAAGAATTTAATTATGAATTTATGTCACGGACATGCTTTGCAGCTCACGCATCCAGTCGTCTCTTCTCGGGAAGGAACGTAGACCGGACTCGAGAAAGCGGCGGAAATCGAGCCTATCACATGGCCTGCTCACATACTCACATGTTCGCCACATGTCTTATCACATGTCTTAGCATTAAACGGTACCAGTTTACTGGCCGTGACATGCCCCTGCAAAAATCAAGCGGGGTGGCCATTTTGGTGTCCTTACAGGAATGTGTTTTTTTCGGCCTATAACCGTGCACAGGGTAACCAACTCTGGAAAGCCACAGGTCAAAATTAGGTTTGCGTTCCACTTCGTCGAACGCAAAAACTCGCTCCACTTCTTCATCCAGTCAGAATTAAAACCAAACCAATTGTAACTCGTTCGTATTCGTTTTCCTGCGCTTTGCGTCAGCTAGATGTAATTACTTCGAGTTTTGATTGCTTCACTGTATTGTCTGTGTCCTGTGTGTTTGGCTAGAGTGATTACTTTGGTTTTGGTTTTACGACACTCAATTGAAAACCGCTCTAAGATACTCACTTAGTTTTATTTGTTTATTTTATCAAGTAATCAAATATTTCTGATGTTTTAAGTCACGAATTTTCTTTTTAAGAACAACGTAGGACATTTTAAATTTGACGTGCTATAGCCTTCTTGCGGTACCATGAGAATTTTACATTGAAAATAAGTGGTGTTTATTTAGTGTTGACGTTATTTGCTTAATAACGGATATACATGGAGCTAAACTACAAATTAAAGATAAGATGACATAAAATGATGAAACAATAACAGGAAATTCACTAAGATGTTTCTTCGCGGATTTTAAGACCATCAGGATCAGATATTAGGGAGTTTAAGAAAACCACGACGGCAACGGCAACGGGAACATCGCTAAACAAAAAGTTTAATGAGCAGAACAATGGCTGTGCACGTGCATTATAATTCTTGGTACATTTCTTTGCCGTCCTCTGCAAAACAACAACGTGAAATGACCAAATTCTGCGTTGTCCAGAGAACGTGAACAACGACGGCTAATTTTTTTATTTTTATTTAAAATGTTTCGCCCTGTCCCAGATTCAGTTTCGTGATAGTTTTGACTCTGAGAAACAAAGGAAAATGACTTTAGAGTATCGCGAGATTAGTAGGTAAAATACATAATCATTTTTTAATCGACGTTGTCCTCGGCGTCGCGTTCTGGTTTTTTAAACTCCCTATTGTGCCTTTTGAACTTAAAAAATCGGTTTCTGGCCTCACAAAGATCGGCTTTTATGTTGTCATGTCCGAACGCCAACATGGACTCTTTTAATCTCTTACATACTTCTTTCCCTAATCAGGGATCTCCGAGACAATCACATCACCACAAGCAGTGCACAGGTGCAATCAATCCTTAGAGCTCGGTTATCACGACTGTAAGTAATACTTAAAAAAAGTTATTTGTTCAGAACATTTTTCTAGTTAGGTCATGTTGCGAAGCTAGAGAGTGTGTTGTATTTAGCTCTTATTAACCGAGCATGAGGTCTGTGTGGGAGAATCTTGACCGAGGTCCTGAGTACAGACCGAACGCAGTGAGGTTTGTGCACAGGACCGAGGTCAAGAATCTCCCATACAGACCGACTTAGCTCGGTTAATAAGATGTTTATTATATGGCAAAGAAGAAAACTTTAATTCGTTTAATGTAACTGGTTTGCTTGCAAACGGTGATAAGCTTAACTTAAACCTGCCGAAATTTGCTCGCCCTCTTCACTTTTTTTTTTTGCCAGCAGCTTTTTGGCACTTCCATAAATGATTGAGAAGAAAATAAAAGAAAACGGTTAACATTTTTGTATTTTAGTTTGCTACTTTTTCAACGCAAAATGAAACCAGTCTAAATGCCGGTCTAGATGGGAAAATCTAGACCGCGGTCATTATCGATTTCAGCTAATCAGATTCGTGAATTTGGTAGTTCCCAGATCTTGTGAGACACAGCCATATAATAATAAGAAATATCAAGAGATCTCTCGTCTCTTGGAAATATACAGTATTTTTTAAGAAAATGTTCTTTCAATAATGTGTTTCTCTCGAGGCTTTAAAGGTATTTCTTAGCTCTTATGTCGTGATTGTGCATGGCAATTTGAAAAGAGTACGCTCACTTCAAAGTGAAGATGAACATGTTGAAGCGTAGACTGCGAGCAGTCTCTTTCTTTTCTTAGCGTTTTCCTTGCGTTTCTTAGAGCGATCGAGCAGCAAGCGGCGAGCCACGAGAAGCGCCTCTCCCCATTCCCTCCTCGTTACGTTCCTTAATTTGCATAAAATCAACTGAGTTCCGCGCGCGGAGGATTTCAGGAACGAAAACCGCACTACTCGTAGTCTAGTTGAAGCCATATCAAAGTGAAAACTCCACTAAAATTAAGTTGGGTCATGAAAAAAAACACCAGAAATGCAGAAAATGTTTCTTTGTTGTTATTATATGAGAGCCTTTTTGTGACTGTGTTTTGAAAATGAGACTTTCTCGTTTGAACAGTTTACTTGATAACAACCCATTGGAATGTGACTGTGCAATAATGCCTCAATTATTTGAGCAAGTTGTAGTAACCGGGACATGCGCTTATCCACACCATTTGAAAGGAGTCAACATAAACACAATTCATCACGAGGATTTCCAATGTGGTATGTTCAGTAGAATTATCTTCATTCCTCACTTATGTAATATATCAAACACGAAAGACCGTGTTTGACCACATTCCCTAACACCGAGAAGAGAGTTGAAAAGACAACTCGTAGCAGAATATGTTTGACGAGCTTCGAGGTATTTGGAAATGTGGTCAAACACTGTCTTGAATGTTTGATATGTCTTCTCAATCGAAACTAAAACTAGAATTTTTTATATTCATATCATTATTACCCATGCACCGTTACAAGGCCAATCTCGGCCGTTTGTGGAGAAGATAACAGATAAGCTCGCTCAAAACTCGATTAATAGTCTAACAGAAGTCTGGAATCCCTGATTTTTCGAAGGACTCCATAACTCGAACCAAAAGCCGTTTCCCTCTCCTCTGTCGGAAACTGTAATTTTACCCCCGATTTCTCGAACGACCCGATTTTTCAAACCGAGTTTCGTTTCCTTGGATGTTCGAAAAAAAGGAAATTTCACTGTACAGTGAAACGTCTATTAAGCGGGTACAATTAGGACCTTCCCAAGTGTCTGCTTACTAGAGGGTGTCCGCTTAATAACTGTTTATAACAATTGCGCAATGTTTGTTAACAATTAACATTCAACGGTTCCTCTGTACTGTACTAAAGTTCCAGGTTGCTAATGAAGCTATCCAGAGTTCAAGTTCATCAGCTTTCATTACCAACTTTAATTTGTTTGAATAATACCCCTTCAAGACTCAGTGATAATACGGGCACATTTAATCGACTATTTAATCAACTATTTCAAGGACGTAATCCAGTGCCACATTGCCAATTCAGTCCGGTGTCTCCTCAATACAAGTTTTTAACAATCATGAGAAATTAGCCAAACACAATTTATTTTAGTGTCCGCGTCCGCTTAATAGAGGTGTCCGCTGAATACGGGTTCGTTATAAAGGGAAATATAAGACGTTAATTTCGGGACCATGCTAGATGTCCGCGTAACTTGGGGTCCGCTTATAAGAGGTTTCACTGTACACTGATTTAACAGTTCGTATCTCACTGACCAGGAAAATATATTCAGCAGTCCAGTCGCCCCATACAGTAAACCCGACGAGAGAAAAGTCTCTCCTGTCCGAGGAAATTTGAATTGACTGAAAAACGTACATATCAGGTTGTTTAGCCTGGAATATCATTGGTACACCTGGTCACCTGTAACTTTTGCAAGTTAGATTCGCGCTCAAAATATCTTCCTTTGCCTGAGGTGGAGGAACGGGCTTACAAGAGTTGAACCAGGCTAACTTATTAACGTGTAACTTCATTCCTAGCCGAGAGCTGCCAGACTCTTTTTATCCGGGGACGCCGTTCAGATGGTATTTACTATCTACGCACACCGGACATCGGTCAGGATCCAATCCAGCAGAAACACATTCAGGCGTGGTGCGACATGAGTGGTCCTAATGGTGGATGGCTCGTGTTTCAACAACGCATCAACGCCTCCGTTAACTTTACAAGAGATTGGGTTTCATACGAAAAAGGTTTCGGCAGACACGGTTTTGAGTTCTGGCTTGGAAATCTTTACATAAATGGTATAACTCGCAGAGGAGAGCACATGCTGAGAATTGAGATATCGGTTTCCATTGATAGGCGCAACCAAACATTTTTTTCTGAATATGATAATTTCCGCGTGTCGAGTCCATTCGACAACTACAACCTTCATGTAGGGAAATATCGAGGCAACCTAAGTGATATTCTTTCGGATGCTAATAACTCTGCATTCTCCACCTGGGATCGCGATAATGACAAGGCGAACAGATCATGCGCGCGCATCAATAAAGGAGCGTGGTGGTACGGCAGAAGTTGTAACATTCCAGACCTGAACGGCATGCTGGGAAACGTTACAAAACGAGGCCTGGTTAAGATTACAATGAAGACCACACGAGCTTTGCGAGGTAACACTCCGTTTTATTTATTTATTTATTTATTTATTT